AGAGTCGCCACCGAACTTTATTCACTCCAAGGATGGAATAGGAAAATATCGATAAAACCTTTAAAGAGATAAGAACATGGTCATCGCAACCAATATTCTAGGTTCGGGAGTCGATTACATAGAGGGAAGGTATTAGCACCCTCTACGTCCGTTGTACTCAACGGGAACCTCTTGATCAATTCGCGAGAGAAGTTAGCTATGTTTGTGTATCTCCTAAAGGGATTGCTTGCTAATAGGAAAAGGGGTGATTATTAAGATAGGGTGCTCGCCAAGGATTGGGGCCCTTGTACCTACGTATCTTCACTTGTAAGAAGTGGAAAATCAGAGCATTCGTAGTTCGTGGGACTACGGGTAAAGAGGGGATTGTGCTCGCTAGGATTATCGCAATCCTATGCCTACGTACTCTCAACAGATATGAGAGATCAGAGCAGCCGTAGTTCGGCTAACTACGGTAAAAGGGTTTGAAACTGAACGAGTGTTTAGGTCGCATTCTAACTGCTAAATGTTGGCTTGTCTGCTCGCTAGGGGAGGCTGAAGCACTAGTTTGTTATGCGCGGAAGAAGGGACTAAACAATGTTCTTTGAAAAAGGTGTATGAGTTGTGGATCGCACGAGGGCGAGTAGAGTTTGATTGGTTAAGTATTTTGGTTTGGAAAAGAGGATAGATTTCAATAGGTTATAAGGTTTTGGTTGCACGGGAGAGAAAAAGATTGGTTAGATGTATTAAAAGTTTAGCTAGAGGTGACGATTACCTGAAGCTTAAGAAAGACTTCTCGGACCCAAGTAATCGGGAGAGTGAACCAAAGATTTGGAGCTCTCTCTTTTTCAACCTCAAATGCGAAAGGATAGAATGTGATTCGAGTGGGTTAATCGGACGACGACTACTCGAAGCTCGAGAAAGACTCCTCGGTCCCTAAGTAATCGGGAGAGTGAACCAAAGACTTGGAGCTCTCTCTTTTTCATCTAAGTGTTAATGGAATTGGATACAAGTGAGTGAATCGGATGACGATTACTCGAAGCTTGAGAAAGACTTCTCGGACCCAAGTAATCGGGAAAGTGAACCAAAGACTTGGAGCACTTTCTTTTTCATCGCAAAAGGAATCGTTTGAATGGCACTCGAAAGATAGCATGTGGTTAAAATATTTTAACAGATGAGGATTAATCGAAGCTTAAGAAAGACTTCTCGGACCTCAAATAATCGGAAGAGTGAACCAAAGACTTTGAGCTCTCTCCTTTTCTCATCTAATATTATGAAAAATGTTTAATAATATTAGAGTGTATTAATCGGATGGCGATTATTCAAAGCTCAAGAAAGACTTCTCAGATTTTAAATAATCGGGAGAGTAGACCAAAGACTTGGAGCTCTCTCTTTTTCATCTATGTATTTAAGAAAATATATTTGAATTTGTTTATGGTTTTTAGAAGACAATTGTTCGAGCTTAAGAAAGACTTCTCGGACCCAAACAATTAGGAGAGAGAACCAAAGATTTGGAACTCTCCCTTTTTCATCTTTTATTGAAATTTTGTTTGAGTAGTTATTAAGTATTTTAAGTTTGATTTAAAGAAAATTGTTTGATATGAATCAAGGTTCGAATTTTACGTATGGAAAGAGCAAAGTGGAATTAAAGAATAGGAGGTCTTACGGTATAGGGTAAGGTCGATGGCGAGGCCAAAAGCACTCGACTTACAAGGATAGGGGGATTTGATGAGATTAAGTGTTATTGGAAGTTGATGATTAAACTTGTTTGAAAACACTTGACGTTGGGTCAAGTTTGGAAAAGAACTAGATTTGAATTTTATATGGGAAATTTGTGGCAAAATATCATTGTACAAAGCCCAAGAGGAGGCTACAAGGTCGATGGCGATCGTAAAAACAATCGGCTTACAATGGGTTTTGAAAATGGGCTTGACATTAGGTCAAGATATTAGTTTTTTTTAAAAGGTTGAACAAGCATGTGAACAACATAAATACAATTGAGATACCATAATAAAACATAAAAACATCACAAGAAAAAAAGGTAACCTAGATAGAATGAGGGATAGGCTAATCTATACATGCTAACCCAATTAATATCCTAATTATCTAAGGTTAGTAAAAGAAAAGAATTCAAATTAAATTGTTTTAGATTATTTTAGAATTTAAAGAGAAAATAAATAATTAAGATAATTATTAAATTAAAATAGAAAATAAAATTAGAATCTTATAAAAAAGAACTAATTTAAAACAATTAATTAAATCAAAATCAATTATTTAATAATATTAATTATTAACAAATTAATTATTATTAAATAAAAGACTTTAATAAAATTAATTAAATTAATAATAATCCATAATTTTATAAACAGAAAATTAAATAAAGTTTTTTTTTGAATTTATTTTTGTCTTAAAAATATATAAACTAATAATAAAAGTTAGTAGAAGTAAAAACAATGGGCCAATCTGCAAGTTGAACAGGGGGTGCAGTCAGAAATTCGCCCCAGGCCCAATCAACGGATGGCCCAACACACGAGTGAGGTCCTACGGTGGACACTCAATCCCCCTGAATAGACTAAGAGATCTGGACCATTGAACCATCACAGAGTTAGCAAAACCTCTGAATCCGAGGGTCCCAGACGAAGGCACACAATAAATACAAACTAATGACCTCGCGAAGGCCAGTGACACTTGTCACCGGCACAATCATCCACTAGCCCCCACTGTCTCACGTGACATCAAAACATAAAGGAAAGAAAAAAAAGTCAAAGATGAAGTTCAAAATCCTCACTTTCTCCACTCAGACCCTTATCTCTCTCAACTCTCACTCTCTCCCCTCACCCGCCGGAGAAGACGGTGGTTTACGGCGGCGCCACCCCTCTTCTCCGGCCAAACACCAAATCAAACCACAAAACCTACTCACAAATGAACCCTGAGTCTAAGTATGGACTCCAAATCCTCTAAAAAGTCCACGAAACCCTAATTCCCAAACTCAACAAAAACCCTATATTCAAATAACGACGGCGAAAACAACTCAAATCGCAAGGAGAAAAAGTCTAAGCCAATAAGGAGCTCCAATCAAGCAACAACAGTTCAAAGGAGAGAATAGAAATACCTGAATCGGAGCAAATCGACCGGACGCTTTTACGGTGAAGGTAATTTTCTGATTTTTGCCTTCTATTAGCTCGCCTCGTGTATCCGTCCTTTAATCCTCTGCTACCTTCTTTCCTTCAGTGACCCGGAAGCTTGAAGCTTGAAGAAGAGTATTCCTTCAATTTCTGGGTAAGATGTTTCTCTAGGGTTTTCTGTCTGTTTTTTCCTTCTTTTTTCTTCCGCCCCCCTTTTTCTCGAGTGAACAGTATATATGTTATATAGAGGTGAGCTAGGGTTCTTTTCAAGAGCAAATCGTGTAAACTTTTGGGTGAAAACAGGATACTTTCGTGAAATTCTTTGCTTGTTTAGCTATTTCCGGCAATGTTTAGTAGGAAAATTTTAACCTAGTTTTACCGTGCAAAGATAGGGATTTTGATGGTAAATACATGGTAAAAACAACTATTACCCTCTGCTGCTATGACCGATTGGTTTCCAGAAATCTTACTATTGATCGCTCCCCCTTTTTTTTTGCAGAACTCATGAGGACAACACCAGTTCTCACACGGTGGCCCTTATGCCAACAGAATCCACTCTTGTGCTATGGAGTAAATGCAAGGAGTATCATAGCCTGAGTCAAGTCTTGAGATGTATTGAGAGATTATTCGTGACGGCGGAGACTCTGCAGGATATGGTAAGCAAGCTTGAATTTGTTTTAAAACTTCAGTGCATAATACATCTGAATATCTGTCAGCAGTGTGGTTTGCAATATGTCACCATCAATTTACTCACACTAATTATGTGTTTCTTTGTTGCGGTTGGCAGATAAAAGAGTTTTGTAGGCAAATATCCTTCATCAGGACATTGTTTCTGTCTGCCAATGCTGGCCTATCGGAGAAGGTGTGCCCTTTCACTAGTAATGCACTGAGCTTGACATTGTCTCCACTCTCTCCATGTTTATTTTCTCCCTTCTTTTTACTTAATTTGCTTCCTTGTTCTGCTTCTTGTTAAAGCAATCTTCCCTTTTCGGTTTCAGGTATGATCTGGTTAATCGCCTTTCCCATACTAGAATCATGAGCCACCAATGTGAAGTCAGCTACAATTTGAGATATTTGGATTCCCTTCATGCGGTGACTGGACCGTTTCCAATTGAATCTCCATGAATGTGCGTCCCACGCACGTAACAACACTAACAATAATAAAATCAGCGTCACTTCCTGTCAACAGCAGCAGTAACCAATAGAAAGGGCCTTCTCCCTTACAACAATGCTTCAAAGCAATGGTTCCCGCAAGAGCATCAAAATCCTCAACAAGCTTCCCCATCCTGATATGATTCCCAGGATTTACATACTTCGTCCACTTGAGCCAAGACGGGAAGTTGTTGATACGTAAGCTTTCACCCCTTTAAACACTTGCTGATCACCTGTTGACTCTCTTTTATGCAAATCACTGCTATATATGTTGCATATTTCCTCTTGTGGCTTTCCTTGCATTTGTTTACTGATCAAACTCATTAATTCTTCTTATTACATGCGCTGAATTTGGGCCTGCTGATGGAGTATGAAGAAAGAAAGTTGGAGATCACGGCTTTAGCAGGAGGGATTTAGAATCGAGGTTAGCTTGATTTCCATTTTACTTCATGAAGTCATTGTGTTTCTTACGGTGATGTCTCTGATGTTAGTTTTTCTTTTATCATTTAGGTTTTCTCTTGATTTTGGGAAATAAGGACGGCATATGGATCCTACCCAATTTCCACATAATAAAGGATTTCCAAAGAAGCTGTCAGCCGAGAACCGCGTGAAGTTCTTAGAAGACGGAACTACTCCAGTAAAGTTGTTATAAGAAAAGTTCATGGAAGAAAGAGTGAAACAATTGGTGAGCTGTTCCGGAATCTTCCCATGCAGGTGATTGTTGTTCAAAATCAGAGAGGCAAGGTTTTACAGCTGTCCAATTTCTGGAGGAATGCTACCCGACAGATTGTTGAAGGACATATCAATAATCTGTATGCTTCTGAGATTCCCAAATTCAGCAGACAAGGGACCATCAAGGTGGTTCCTGCTCAAGTTCAAGGTCAAAAGATGCTCAAGAGAACCAACAGATGCTGGGACATGACCGGAAAAATTATTGCTAGATAGGTCCAATGTATCAAGATTTATGATACGGCCTAACTCAACTGGTATAATCCCTTTAAAGTTGTTCGCAGAGAGATTTAAGTAAGTCAAACTCTCAAGGTTGCGAAAGCTCAATGGAATAGAACCGCTTAACTGATTACCATGCACATTAAACTGATTTAATGTCGTGCAAGAGCTTATGTTATGTGGAATAGATCCATTTAGATGATTATTGGCAAGATTCAATTCGAACAGATGTTCAAGCTTCCCAAACTCATCGGGAATTTCACCCACCAGTTGATTATCATTCAATTGCAGGTAGCTCAGTTTAGACATATTGCCTAGCTCGGGAGGTATCGATCCAGTAAGCATGTTTCCATGAAGATATAGTTTTCCGGTGAAAGATAGATTTCCTAATATTGGAGGAATTGGTCCTACTAACAGATTCTCTCTCAAATCCAAAATTGCAAGAGCTTGCATCAAACCAATCACCTCTGGTATCTTCCCGGTTAACCTATTTCCTTGAAGCGACAAAGTAGCTACTTGAAGAAATCCAATGTTATACGGAATCTCCCCGGTAATCTGGTTATACGATATGTCAAAGATTTCAAAATTTGTGCAGTTGCCAATGCTCTCTGGTATAGTACTAGTCAAATTATTGCCTCTGACATCAAAATACCATAAACCAGTTAATTGACAAATGTCTGGAGACAAAATTCCAGTCAACATGTTCCCTCGCAACCCAAGGTATTGCAATACTTCATTCCAATAGAGAAGCCTCGGTATCTCTCCAATGAACTTATTTCTAGCAAGATCAATAGTCTTGAGGTTTGGAATTTGCGATAAAGTCGAAGGAATAGGACCTGTCAACTGATTGTTCTTTAAATTCAAAAACTCAAGTAGCTTCAGCTTCGATAAGGAGAAAGGTATATCACCATAAAGCTGATTATCAGATAAATCCAGATGAACAAGTTCGGCGCAGTTCCCGATTTCATCGGGGATTTGACCAGTAAGCTTATTTCCTTGCAGGTCTATGGATTGCAAGTTTCTTAAATCACCAATTGCTGGCGATATTTCACCACCAAGATTTAAGCTTGACAAATTCAGAGAAACCATTGTTAAAGTAAGAGTGACATTATCACAAAAAACTCCACGCCATGAACAAAAGTCGTCATTATGCACATCATCCCAGTCAAGAAGAAAGTCAGCAATGTTGTTGAACGAAGACTTCATTGCCATTAATGCTTGTCCTTCTTCAGTGAGTGAAAATGCAAATGGAGAAAGAACCAACATCATGGGAAACAACAATGTGGTATAAAACATCATAGACCTCAACTTGTGTTGGGAAGCACCATAGAGCAAAAGCACGAACCCTTTTTCTTCTACCATTGTTACTAACAAGACAAAGCCTCAAGACCAAGTATGAGATAAGTTAATGAGAGAAAAAAATGTAGCTGTTGCAAAGGTTGTTACAGAGAGAGAACAGGCGTTTGGCGTGAAGTGTAAGGTAAACATAGAAGAGAGAGTTTTATGAAGAGAGAGAAAGAGAAAATGGAAACGGCCTTTTTTGTATTTTGAATGGTTTATAAACTCAGAACCAATGACCGTGATTTCTGCTCTTTATGTTATGATGTGAACACTTATACAACTGTTACGGTTGTAGGATATCCATCCCTGTTCTGTTTCTCTTTTCTTTTGCTAAGGTAATATTGACCATAGCTTGGTATATAAACCTGAACAACTCCATCTATGCTTTGAAACAAATCCAACGTGGCTAGGATTAATCTAATCATGAATTCAAAATGAAGGTTGAATAATAGCCGAAAATGGCTTGAGACAAGGAAACTTGGCTAGTAGTAGCTTCGTGGCCTTAGTACCCAGCTAAGACATGGTTCAAAACAAAATGATTCTAAACAAAGTTTTTTAAATCAATTTGACATATGGCTCGAACTTATTTTGAAACACTTTGACCATGTCTTAAAATAACTCAACATATTATAGCTTGAAAGCGAACAACCCCATGGTTTATAATCCATTTGAAGCCACTTGATCATATCTTGACTAACTAGTCATAAGAATAAGGGCCTATTTTCTTTCATCTCCAATTGAATCTACTTGGAACAAATTAAATCCACTTTTGTCATAAATTTATCTTGGTATCAGACCCATTTGAAATGTGTCCCATAATCACTTTGGACTATCGTTTAAAATCAACTTGAAGTCATATAACCATGTCTTGACTGAGTAATCGTACAATGAGTGCCTAATCCTCCTTTATCTGTCCTTGAAAATACAACAAACCGACAAGAGCTATCAAACACCACAAACTTATACAAGACCCTCATGAACTAAATTTTGGCATATGATAGCCAAAGGCCATATGATGATTTCGTTGGGAAGATTCCATGAAGCAACACTATGAAGAAAAAAAAAAGAGGGTAGGACAAATTTGGGGTATGACAGTGACGACCAATCCTCTGTATGGTTCTCTACCCGATGAAGACTTTCCTCAAGTGAACAACATAACTGAAGCTCAGTCTGTGCAGCTTTCTGTTGAAGACCAGGATCTACATGAACAGTCTGTTGTTCGAAGTGAGTGTTCTTCTTCTCTTGATACTTCAGATTATCATGATGTTGTGTCCTCTGTGTTGATTTCCCGAAGAGAGGTTCCGATGGCAAAGACTGAAGACCCAAGAGCTCTTGAGTATGCTAAAAGGTTGCATGCATTGGATGAAAGATTCAAAGCCTTGGAAGTCAAAGATGTTGTTGGTCTCAATGATTCAGATATGTGTCTGGTTTACGGCCTAGTGTTACCTCCGAATTTCAAAGCACCGAAGTTTGAAAAGTACAAAAGGGATAGCTGCCTAAGGCAACATTTGGTGATGTTTTCCAGAAGAATGACTTTGTTTGTGCACGATGACAAGTTGATGATTCGCTGTTTTCAGGACAGTCTGATTGTGGCATCTTTGAGTTGGTATATGCAGTTGGAGAGTAATCAGATCAGATCATGGGTGGATTTAGCCAAGGCTTTCATGAAGCAGTACGAGCATAATCTTGATATGGCTCCCAGTCGCATGCAGTTGTAGGAATTGTCTCAAGAGAACAATGAACCTTTCAGGAAGTATGTTTAGAGATGGAGAGAATTTGCTTCCAGAGTGCAACCACCGCTTCTAGATCGAGAGTTAACAGACATGTTCATAAACTCCTTGCAGAGCCCGTACTTCGAAAGAATGCTTGGGATTGCACCAAATTTCTCTGAATTGGTAAGAGCAGGAGAACGTATTGAGTATGGCGTAAAAACTGGAAGAATTTAGAATGTTTCAAGCGGTCATGCTGGTGAAACCAAATCTCTCTGTAGCTTTCAAACTGGAAGAAATCAGGATGTTTCAATCGGTCAGGCTGGTGAAATCGAATCTCTCTGTAGCTTTCAAGCTGAAGACGAAACTATGGTCAATGCAGTCATGACAGATGTTGGGTATTCTCAAGATGAATCGGTGAAATCTTTTGGTTCTTCATCTTCTCAGCGGTTAGTATCTTCTGTGTCTCGTTATTCTGGACAGACAACTGTGCCTAGGGCACCACATTAGAAACTTCGGGTCGCTCCTCATGCAAATCACCGAGCCCGTGGCCGAGGTTATCAGAATCAGCGTTAGAATCAGAACAGGCCTTGTAACAACTTAGAAAGAAGGACTGCTCCTTTTCATCCAGTTCCTGTGCCGTACAGCCAGCTTTTGCCATAATTGATTCAGAATTCTTTGGTGGAACCTAAAGCTCTTAAGCTAGTGCCAGAACCTTACCCTCCAGGGTATGATCCCCATGCTCAGTGTGGATATCATGGTGGATCTATAGGACATTCAACTGAAGATTGCAACGCTTTTCAGGCAAAAGTGCAGTAGTTGATTGACGAAGGGTGCATTTCATTTCTAGAAGGAGTTTTGGTTGTTAATGTCAACCTCTCAGCTGTCTGAGCTTGCAGATTCAGAGTTTTATTTCCAGAAGCCAGTGGTCCAGACAGGCAGACATCTTCAGCATTGGCAGTCCTTGGACTTTTTATCATTTGCATTTGTAGTTTCTTTTATGTTAGTTGTTACTTGCTGTTAAATTTGTGTTTTGAATGGTAATATTAATGAAGTGATTATGCATTTTTATGAACTAATCATGTCGCTTTCGCTCATTTATTGCACAACACAGACACATGCACTTTTTATCCACTCCACTTTATCACTGTGATTAGCAAAGATTGGAGGGAGGATGATGAAACTAAATACTAATAACTGATGATTGTATGCTTTCGGATAAAACCCTGTTGATGACGTACATGCATTGTTTCGAATCCCCTAAACACTGGAGATATAAGGAGTTAGTCCCTAGTTAACCACTTCGAGCCAGGAAGTAGGAGTTTCTTTTGGACTTTTCAACCCTCAAATCTTAACCCGGGGTAAGGTAGTTGTCAATTAGCTTGACCGAGCGTTCAAGTTCCATAGAAGAGTATCCCGTTCGAGGATCAATCACACCTCAAGAGGTCGTACCTCATCAACCACAATGGTTAACCTCACTAGTCAAGAGTGAGACAGTTATAATCCCTTCGAAGGAATTAAGACAGCCAGTGTCACACGACTTGTTTCAAGAAGAAAAAAAAGAAGAAAAAAAGAAAGCCCGCTAAGTAAAAGAAAAGAAAAGCTGGAAAGCAAATACTTAAGCAAAAATCAGGGCATCCCGCTGGACTTCAAAATCGACAAGAACTCAAAAGAGTCAGTCCATGAAAAAATTAGGGAATCAAAAGAATGAAAATGAAAGGATCTCAAAAGAAAAATCCTCAAACAAGGGCAAAGTCGTGTGGATACAGACACCGAAGACAAAAAAGGAGTAACTGTCACTCCGAAAACCTTGTGAGTTCCATAACCATCACTCTTACCACTCCTTAAGCCTTTGGAAGAGGTGAGTGTTTGTACCAAGTTAACTGAACATAGGATTGGAGATCATCACGTAGAAGGGTTGGGTACAAATCATACTTTGAGCCTAATATCCTTTGTTTTAATAACCGTGAACCCGATCATGATACAACCCTTAAAAGACCTAATTGAGGCAGGGTTTAATCTGAAAGCGCATTACAATAAGGTTGAGTAACCTGACTCCTACATGATTTGCTAATCATATCCTTGTTGTACCTTGCACTAATCAAATCAGCACTACGTTTGAAATTTTGGTTCATTCGTCACTCACTATCACGACACTTGATAAATGACATTTCTTTCAAAACCTGCATGAACACCGCATTAAAATTACCAGTCGTGGGCAAACAATTTTAATTGCAGGTCAGTAGTCGACTTGAAGTAAATTCCAACAGGGAATAATCGAACAGGACTAGATCGTTCAGCAGTTTTGATCAGCATTGTGTATACTTTGAAACCCTGTGAATCTGGGGCATTGATATCCAATGAGTTTGGAATTAGTTAGTCTGAGGACAAGTCTTGAAGCGTCGGTTGATTATGGGACAGTTTAGTCAAGAAGCAGTTGATCAGCAGTGAATTATCTCGAAACCCAATCAGGGGCAACTACCCAGAGTTTCTGAAAGTTGAGGGCAGATCCCTCCGGTATTCAATCAGATCAGGTTAAATCGCTTCAATGCTCATTCAAGGGCAAGATACTTCAAGAGTATATTGAATCCAACCATTCTGAGAGTTGGTCAACCGAGGATGAATCCTTTCGTTGTACGGACTCTAGGGTAAGCCATCTCGAGGTTGTCTCATGGCAAGCCATTTTCTTCTCGAAGTGAACTTTCTCAAAGAGTCGGTCTAGGGCAAGTTAAACTGCATTGGCGTAAGCTGTTCAAGCTAGTTTGCTCTCTCCAGCAAGAATTGAGTGTCGGGGAATCGTGTCATTACCCTCATCAAATAACCTTAACCTTCCGAAAAAGCCTTGTTGTCATTGGATCGTTATCCTACAGCCTAAACCTGTTACCTACCATGTAATCAAAGTCATTTCCAAAGCCCAGTTCTCGTCTGGCAAACCGGTAACCAGTTCTCGTCTGGTCCACCTTTCTTAGAATACCAGTCCTCATATGGTACCTGTCATCTTTTAACCAGTTCTCGCCTGGCCACCCTTTCCTTAACCACCAGTTCTCGTCTGGTGCATGTCAGCTTTTAAACCAGTTCCCGTTTGGTCACCTTTTCCTTGACCCACTGTTTAACCAGTTCTCGTCTGGCTAACGCAGTTTTAAAGTCCAGTTCTCATCTGGAAAACCATAAATCAGTTCTCGTCAGTTACCAAAACCATAGAAGTCAGTTCTCGTCTAACAACTTAAACCCTTTTGCCATCAGTTCTCGTCTGGTAGTCTACCCTCGAATTCTAGTTCTCGTCTAGTATTTCTCTCAAAAGTCCATTTTTGT